GGAATGACAACAACACACACACACATACAAAAATACACGCACAAATACACTCTCACACAAATACACACACACACACACACACAAATACACGCATAAATACAAATACACACACACACACACAAATACAACTCCAAGCCCACGCAATTGCCATCAACCTGCGTTCACACACGAGCTATTCACCTACCATCTGAACAACAAAATAACCATGTTGCCTCACCACACCTGTCGTCTCACCACACCTTTCTTCCTGCAGTGAAAGCGGTGCGCGATCAGCTGTCGCTGATGGCGGAGCTTGCGTTTGAGGCATGCAAAGGCCTGGGCACCAACGAAGACCTGCTCACGTTCATCCTGACGTCGCGCTGCGAGTATGATTTGCTGGACATTGCGGAGAAGTACCGCGAACTGTACAAGGAGGATCTCTACGCCCGCGTTCGCAAGGAGACATCAGGTGCCCACTGCGCACCGCTCTTGTCGCTGCCGTTGCGGCTGCTTCTTCTGTGTATGTGTACGTGTTGTGTGTTCGACCAAGTCTCACACAACACGTACACATCCATACAACCCGCCAATGTCCCCACCCGTACACACACACCACCACCACCACCACGACTGTGACGTTGGCAGGGTACTACCGGCTGCTGTTGTGCGAACTCTTTGGAGAGGTGCAGTTTGACCCGGAGAAGGATGCGAAGCGGCTTAGGAAGGCCATGCGTGGATGGGGTGAGCATGTTTACCAATGGGAGCGGTTGGGAGGAGAGAGTGCACATGTGGTTTGTTGTTGTTGTTCCTGTGCTTCTTTGTGTGTGTGCGTGTGTGCTTCTTTGTGTGCGCGTGTGCGTGTGTGCGTGTGTGTGCGTGTGTGTGCTTCTTTGTGTGCGTGTGTGCGTGTGTGCGTGTGTGTGCGTGTGTGTGTATTTCTCAACCGCTCTCCCCTGTGCCCGGTCACCATCCCCAATGGCTCGTTGTTTCGCATCCCCTCTCGTCCTTCTCTCGTTCACCCTTCCCATTGCTCCTCCCCTTGCACCAGGCACGAACGAGTCTGTGCTGAACAAGATCATCGGCGGGCGCACGAATGCACAGCGTCAGACCATCGCCACCACATTCAAGGACCTCTACAACCGCGACCTCAGCAAGGTTGGTCGGTGTTTGCGGTGATGGTGGTGGCGATAATGTTGTTTGTTGATGATGGTGGTGATGGCGGTAGTGGCGATAGCCATTGGAAGAGATGATGAGTTGAGAGTGGGTACCTTGTGCACGTGTGGATGTGGTTTTGGTGCTGGCTATGTTCCGTGCGTGGCTGCATTTGTGTACTCGCATCATATTGTTGCCTCATCTCCTTCAACACCTCCTCACTCCACACCATTTCAACTACTCATCAACCACCACCCATCAACGCTCACTCCCAACCACCACTGCCCACGTCCTCGTTTGTCGTGTAACAGGACCTGAAGAGCGAGACGAGCGGCGACTACCGCTATCTGCTGCTGGCGCTCATGATGGACCCGGTCGAGTTTGTTGCGTCGGAGGTGCAACGCGCTGTCAAGGGACTGGGCACCGACGACCGCAGCCTCATTGAGATTCTCTGCACGCGCACGGGCTTCCAGATGCGCGGGCTGAAGGAGAAGTACCAGGAGATGTACGGGCGCACGATGGCCGAGGCCGTGCGTGATGACACGTCGGGCGACTACCGCCGTCTCCTCCTCGCCCTCATCGAAGGCGAACGCAACGACTCCGAGGCGGTGGGTGTGCATATGTTTGTGTGTGTGTGTGTGGGTGCAGGTGTGCAGGTGTGTATGTGTGTGTGTGTGTGCATATGTTTGTGTGTGTGGTGGAGGATGACTCGCGAATTTATCATCCTGGACACACGCCCCACGACTGCCCTCCACCGTCCCAACCATCCCATCTCGTCACCAATAGTCACCGTACACCACACACACACACACACACACACACACACACACACACACACACACACACACACACACACAAACACACACACATACATACACACATACACACTACACCACGACCATGCCTGCACCGTCCAGCCGGATGATGAGACGGCGCGGACGGAGGCCTCGCGTCTGTATCAGGCTGGTGAAGCGCGCATGGGCACAGACGAGGCAACCTTCATTGAGATCTTCAGCACCCACTCCTTCCCCATGCTCCGACGCATCTTCGAGCACTACAGCAAGGTGCTGTTGCCACACATGATGGTGTGGCAGGATGTTGCTTGCTGGCTTGCTTGTGTGTGTTTGTGCATATGTGTTTGTGTGTTTGTGTGTTTGTGTGTTTGTGTGTGTGTGTGTATCCTGATTGTTTTTTTTTTTCCTTCAGCTTTACGCCCAACGCACGTTCGCGTTCTCATCATCAGCACTACGCCACCTTTTCCACTCCAATACCGACATACACACACACACACATGCGCGTGCACACACACCTACACACACACGTCTGCAGCTGTGCGATTACGACATTGAGAAGAGCATCACGCGGGAGACGTCGCTCGACTTCAAGAAGGCGCTCCTCACCATCGGTACGGCCGTGACCGCACGCTAGTACTGGGGGTGGAGGGGGGGGGGTTTAGCAAACATCATTTTATTGTGTTGGGCCTTGTTGTTGACTGGTGTTAGTTTTGTTGGGTGGTGCTGTTAGTACTTCATTCCCACATGCATGCATTTTTTTCACGCCCACGCGCATACAGCTTCACGCACTCACATTTTGTCCCTGTCACTCTGCCTCCCCCAACATACACACACACACCACACACAACACACACACACACACACACAACACACACACACACACACACACTCCCCGTATTCCCATTACTCACCTGCTCCCCAACTTCTCCTGTGCAGTGAAAGTTGTGCGGGATCCTGAGGGGTTTATGGCGACGGAGCTGTACAACACGATGAAGGGCGCCGGCACACGCGACCGCAACCTCATCCGCATCATCGTCATGCATGCTGAGGACGACCTGAAACACATTGGCGATGCTTTCTACGAGAAGCACAAGATCACGCTCGAGAAAATGTGGGTGCACGCGTCCGACCAGCAGTTGGTTTGTTGTGCGTGTCTGCCGTGTGAATGTGGTGACATGCTTTCTTTTGCTCAGTTGATTCTTGTGTCACAGACTGCGATTGATATCGACGCACGATCATCATCATCATCATCATCATCATCATTGCGATGGTTCTTCCTCGCTCACCGCCACCACGTGTCACCATTGCGCGCGTGTGCAGGATCTCTGGCGACACGTCGGGCGACTACCGCCGTCTGCTCATCCGTCTCCTTGACTTCTCCCGCAAGGTGTGCGTGCGCAACGACGCGCGACGCAAGCACGCCCTGGAGCAGCAGGAGCACCTTGGTGGCGGCGCACGCGTCACCATCAACATCTCCACGCGGCACCAGCACCACCGCCACCACGAGCGGCACCTCGTGCACCCGCCATCCACGTCCGACAACGTGTTCACGCCACGGTACCCACCACAACAGCACGAGCATCAACATCAGCAGCATCAGCAGCATCAGCAGTATCAGCAGCACCAGCAGTACCCACCGACAGATGGTGGTGCCACTGTTGCGACGATGTTGAGCTCTGTTGATGGCGCGCGCTCCTCGCATTCCTCGCGTGACAGCAGCCTGACACGCGGCCGGCACGAGCAGCCGTCCGCGACAACCACCACCGATGGCAAAGGCAACACCGTCATCACGCTGACCGTGGACACGCCCCAGCCAGAGGCAGAGGCCATGTTCTGAGACCATGAAGACGCAGAACTGTGTGTGTGTGTGTGTGTGTGTGTGTGTGTGTGTGTGTGTGTGTGCGTGGCAGTGGGTGCAATCTCGCATTTGGGGTGTTGTTTTGCCCGTCATCATCTGCTCTTGACATCTTTGCTGCAATGTCTTGCTTGCGCCCGTGCTTGTTTGGAGTGATTGAGACGTGTTGTTCCCTACCCATTTGTTCTTGTGTTTGTTGCTTGCTTCAGATTGAGGCTCACCATGCTTGTCGCGGGTGATGTTTGCGGTGTTTGGGTTGCTCTGCCACGGTGGGAGGTGCGACTTTTTTCTCTTCTGCTTCGCGTCCTTCTTGTGATGGTGCTCGTTTGCTTGCTTGTTTGTTGTTGCTTACACCATCAGCAAAGTTTAAACCACATCAACAAAGATCAATCGGCCAAACGCAGTGTGACGTGACGACAAACAACTGCATCTCACACCCAACGCGCAACGCGCTGTCTGCTATCAAGCACATTTGCACATCACGAAGACACAAAACAAAACAATGGCAGAAACGAAGGAAGGAAAGGAGAGAAGGAAGAAACAAAAACACAGGAAGACGAGCTGCAATGAAAGGTCCAACGACGCGTGCGTGCGTGCGCGTGTGTGTGCTAGCTCTCCTGCTTCTCAGTGACAGCACCATTGTCATCTGCAGCTGGCGCCGCACTGTCACCATCACCATCGCCGCCATTCTCATCCCCTTTGTCGTTCTCCTCTGTGGAGCGTGCCCCTTCATCCCCTTCATCCTCACCATCACCATCATCATCATCATCATCATCATCACCTTCTCTTCCATTCTGTTGCTCCGTGGTGTTGTCACCATCAGTGCCACCATGGCGCTGCCTCTCTGTCTCAAATGCGGTGTTGCCGTCTGCAACGAGGCGGTCGAGGTCTTCCTCCCACCCGAGCAGTCGCGCCAGCACCCGCACCCCGTCATCGCACGTCCCGCCCATGAACACATCCCGGTACTCGCTGCAAGCGCACGGCGGCGTGATTGTGTGTGTGTGTGTGTACATGTGAGAATGTGTTGGTACATGTGAGAGTGTGATTGTGCATGTGAGAGGATATGGTGGGAGGCGAAAGCGTGTCCTTACGGGCAAGCGTGCGCCCACTACAACTCAAAAAAAAAATGGCACAGCATCACACGCTACAAGTTTCTCCTCTTCATCAACACTCACGCGTCGAAATCAAAGGCAGAGCCATAAAAGGCAAAGCCGTCCTCGCCCACGCGGTCCCTGATGACGAAAGCGAGCGAAAGAGACAAGGGAGAGGTGAGGAGGTTACGATAATGGTGCAGTTGAATGGAGGAGCTGGAGGGAAGTCACAGCAGAAGAAGAAGAACATGGACAACAACAACAACAAAACAAAACCCAACAACTTCAACAACAACAACAACTTAAACAACAACAACTTCAACAACAACTTCACCAACAACTTCAACAACAACTTCAACAACAACAACAACTTAAACAACAACAACAGCAACTTAAACAACAACAACAACAACAACAACAACAACGATGCATCAAGCTTGCTGCAAACACACACACACACATCCGGGTTTGTATCCAAGCGTGGCTGTGCATCACCTGTTGATGAGGATGCGGGGCACATCCTTGCGCGCGTATGAGATGAGCGATGCAAATGGATGAACCTTCAAGGACGTCCCCATGACAATGAGTGCATCTGCGTCTGCCAGGTCCTTGCGAAACCCGCGCGTGAAGCGTTCCGGCAGGGATTCGCCAAAGAAGACAATATCTGGCTTCACAACGCCGCCGCAGCGCTGGCAGTGCGGAATGTCGCCAGCAAACACGCGACCCTTCACCCACGCCTGCACAGAGACATGCGTAGGTGCGACAGGGGAAGGTGAAGAGGCGTGAAAGCGATTGTGTGTGTGTGATTGTGTGAATGAGTGAGGCAATATGTGTGTGTGGTTGTGTGTGTGTGCGTTTCGTTGTCGCTCGTACCGGATCAGCCTCCTCTTGACAGTCCGTGCAGTGCGCTGTGGCAAACGACCCATGCGCTTCAATCACCTGGGAAAAAAAAAAAGCAACACAGAACAGAAAAGAAAGAGAGCGCGCGCACACACACACACGTATGCAACGTGAACACGGGTTGTGTCAGGTAGAGGAAGCATAGATCATAGAAGAGCGGGCAATGAACATGCACGATTGCAGCGTAGCGCATGGGTGACAACGATAACGATGATGGATGATAGTTGTGATGATGGTGGTGTGTGCGTGCGTGCGTGCACGCATGTGTGCTGATTTGCATTTGGTTTGCCGTACTTTGTCGTCCGCAACGCCGGCCATGCGCTCCAGTGTGTCAATGTTCTGTTGTGGACAACAACGCAGCGTGCGTTGGAGACCACGAGCGAGATGGCGAATGTAAGATGAGCAGTTGCAGCATGTTGTTCATCACACACACGCATACAGACGCAAACAGACGCACACAAGAATTTAATTCACACACACACACACACCTGTGTGTAGTGGCGGAGGAGTATGCCCTTGTCCTGAAGGAGGCGAACAAAGTGGTGCGACGGCGTGGGCTTGAAGTGGCCCGGGTACAGCTCCTTTGCCAGATCATAAAACGGGTTGGGGTTCTCCCGAAAGAAATCGATGGAAAACACATCCTCTGGCTCCTCAAGCTCGTACTTCTGTCAGCGACAATGGTGTGTGCCGTGTACGTGTGTGTATGTGCGTATGTACGTGTGTATGTACGTGTACGTGTGTGTGTGTGATGTGTGTGTGTGATGTGATGCGATGTGTGTGTGTGTAAGTGCCATGTGTAAGCACGAATGAATAACTTCGCACCCCATTGACCAGCGATCGACGATTGTGGCACAGGTAATGTAATGACATGAGCGCTCAACGCAGCACCAAATCAATCCCCCCACGCCACCGCACCCCAAATCAAACCTGCAGGTTGTCGTAGAGGCCTGTGCCTGGGGATCGGAAGTCCGGGATGCCTGCACTCGTGCTGATGCCAGCGCCAGCCATCACCACCACCTTCTTGCCTGCATGGCGAGTTGATGCGATGTAGTCACCGCAAAAAATGCGTGTGAATGCGTGTGCGTGAGTGAGCGAATGAGGCAGCAAAACCTGGCGTCGCTGACGCTAAGCTGGGATCACGGTACTTAGGGATTGCGTCTGCCAATGTCTTCCTGTTTGTTTCCCACCGGCATCACAGCTGACGCAAGCACGCGCGCACACACACGCACACACACGCACACACACACGCACACACACGCACACACACACACACACACACACACACACACACACACACACACACACACACACACACACACGCAAGTGTGTGCATGCAAGTCCACACGTCCAAATCTGTCGACACACACACACACACACGATTGTGACCCCATCTTTGTGTGAAGATGGAACCACACGTACAGTTGTTGTCGAGAAGGTACTTGACGAAGCCCTCGGCATCAAACGAGGACAGGACAGGCTCTCGCTCAGGCTGTGGTTCCTCCACACGCACCTGTGTTGCGCATGCGTATGTGCGCGCGCGTGTGTGTGTGTGTGTGCGTGTGTGTGCGATGTGTGAGGTTACGGAAGCGTTCACCATCACAACAAGCAATCACGCTTGACCCAACTCTGTGCAACGTGCGATCTCAAGCGCAACGCCTCTTTCCTCTTTGCATTCATACCTGTCCAAAGTGGCCAATGAGATCAGCCAGGAGATCGAGGTCTCCATCGCCTTCAACACCTTCCATCTTGTCTGTGTGTGTCTGTGTGTGTGTGTGTGTCTGTGTGTGTGTGTGTGTGTGTGTCTCTGTGTGTCTGGGGTGGAAGTCTGCTGGTGATGGCACTCGTGTCGTCTCGCACAGTCACATCCGTTATGCTATAAAAAGGATACAATGCTATTACAAGACCAATACCGTGAATTTAGATAGCCTGTGAAAGATGTGCCACATTTCTCGACCAATTTTGAATTTTGGGTGTTTGTTTTGGCATTTGCCGCACTTCCAGCCAGCCACGGAGATACACACACGCCGCTCTCACCAGATCCTCATCCCCATCCTTGCCACCCATCCTTGTTGCCAGCCAAAGACGCAGCGAAGCACGCCACCATGTCGACCGTGGTACGTTCAACGAGACATGTGTAGGATAGCAATATCTGTGGAGAGTGATGGAGAGTAACGGAGTGTGTGATAACTTGATGCACACAGCATGTGTGCTTGCTGCGTTAGTTTTGGGAGCTCACACGCCCCAATCGCTATGCTGCTGTTTGGGAAAACAGAGTTCCAGCTACGTACAGAACGAGAACATCTCCCCAGTGGTGCTGAGGAGGGTAACAAAGGAGGTTGTGAAGCTCACCAAGAACCCACCGGAGGGCATCAAAGTGCACATTGACGAGGCAAACATCACAGACATCCAAGCAACCATCTACGGCCCAGGTGCGCTGAACACATTTTGTGCGTGTGCGTGTGCGTGTGCGTGGTGTCAGGCTTGAGGTGTGAGGTTTGAGGTGCAGGTTGTTCTGCGTTCGTATTTGTGCGCGTGTTGTTAAGCGTGTGCAAGGCTCACATGAGTTTGACGTAACGCTGGGCGTGTTGTGAAACATGTCACACAACCTTGCTCACACCGCGTGTGTTTGTGTGCATCCTCGGCCTTACGCCTGTCGGATTCCCCGTCTCCCTTCCCCTTGTTTGTTTTCTGTCTGAAGACTCCACACCGTATGAGGGGGGCGTGTTCAGGGTGCGCTTGTCGCTGCCATCTGACTTTCCGCAGTCGCCCCCAAAGGGCCATTTCCTCACCAAGATTTTCCACCCCAACGTTGCGGAAGCTGGCGATATCTGCGTCAACACACTGAAGCGAGACTGGACACCAGACAACACACTGGAGCACGTGCTCACCATCATCAAGTGTCTCCTGATTCACCCCAACCCTGCATCTGCCCTCAACGAGGACGCCGGCAAGCTGCTACTGGAGGAGTAAGCTGCTTTGCGCGCTGGCTATGTGTGTGTGTGTGTGGGGGGGGGGGAGAGTTAGTGTGTGAATGGGTGAATGAGTGAGAGAGAGAGCGAGTGAGTGTGTGTGAGTATGTGTGTGAGTGTGAGTACGCGCGTGTGAGTACGTGTGTGAGTGTGTGTGAGTGTGAGTGTGAGTGAGTGTGAGTGTGAGTGTGTGTGAGCGTGCTCGCGTGTTCCAAACTCTCCCTTGTTTCACACTGCATGCTGATGAATTCTGTCTTCACGTGATGGATCTCACCGCTCCTCTCTGCGCCCGCTCATCTCGTGCACGTGTTACAGCTACGAGGGCTTTGCCAAGCGAGCCAAGATGATGACACAGATCTACGCCAAGCCAACAGCAAAGGATGCAGCAGACCAACCAGCCGCGTCTTCATCGTCTTCATCTTCCTCCGCATCCGTGAGTGTGTGTGAGTGTGTGAATGTGTGTGAATGTGTGTGTGTGTGAGTGTGTGCATGAATGTGTGTGTGTGTGTGTGTGAATGTGTGTGTGTGTGTGCGAGGTGCAAAGGCAGAGGCACAGACAGCGAGAGAAGCAAAAGGCAGCGCTTGTGTATCTGTGTCTGCACCTTGGTGTGAACAATGCCTCAACCATTTCCAGCCCTGAACCATCTGACTCACCACATGATACCTTTCCGCATTCCTTTGCTTTGTTTTGACTGCAGGGCCCTGGCGACGCGAAGAAGAAGCCGAAGAAGAAGGCGGACAAGAAGAAGAAGGCGCTTAAGCGATTGTAATCAACACCCCACCTTGTGTTTCTCCCCTCCACATCATGTCCATGTCACACGTGAACAAACGCGCGCACGCAACCGTGTACAACACATACACATGTGTGCGCATCACGCATTGTGCTGAGATGTTTTGTTCGCTCTGGTCTTCCTTTTGTCCCCTCTTGCCTATCTCTTGCTTGTCTCGCGCTTCCCTCCTTTCCTTTGTGACATGAATGATGATGAAGGGATGTTTGTGTTGATTAGCACAGCACCACATACACGCACATGCACGCGCACGCGTACGCTGACTGCGTGGCCAATTGCCCTTTCGTGCTTGGTTGTGGCTGCCTCTTCCTTCTTGCCTTGTTGCCTTGTTGTTTGCTTGCTTCACTTGTGGATAGTGCCCGCTCTTCTTGCTTGCGGGGGTGTTGTTGATAGTTGTGTTGATGACGATGATGATGGGTTTTGATTGCTCAGACAGCGTGGTGCGATAAACGGAATGAAACCGAGCACTGATGGC